ATATATATATATATATGGTGTATGATGGGCGTCTTTGATGGAGGAGAGGTTGTACGTGCAGAACCTCGCAGCCCCTTGTGCCTTGCTGGGCACTGATGGACTCCACCTACGGAGCCCATGGCCTCATGGGAGGGACACAAGCTTTGGCTCGCATCCTCTTATCACTCGTGAACTGTGCAGCCTCTGACAAAAAGCTGCTTAATCTTGAACATCAATGTACTCGTTGGCAAAATGAGAATATGAGGATGCTAATACTTTTCCTTTAGAGTTGCTGAGAATTACAGAGAATATAATTAGAATGTCTGGTGTAGACAAATGATAAATGAATGATGGATGCCACTATCAGTAACTGTGAACACACCAATAAAGCGTTCATTTGTGGCCTCGAAGTTTATTATAGCATAGCAGAGGGAATTGCGGGAGGCAGTGAATTTACTAAAACTTTCAAGCACACCTGGATAATTTTTATGGTATGTTGAATTCACATAATGTTGAATTTACTACAGGGTGAATGTAAGTTTAAAGAAAGAAATTAAGAATTGGTTATTATTTTCTTGAATTTCTGAGAAGATGAAATCCCCATTTGCTAAATGCATTTCATTTTTTCTTTGGAGGTGTTGGAGAAAATTTGACTGATCCATCTGTTATAAAACCTGAAGACAAACAGTAAGTTGATTGATGATGTTATCATTTAGAAAATTGCATTTAACACATTGTATACGGTTTTGTTGTTTTTTAAAATATTTTATTTATTTATTTGACAGAGAGAGACACAGCGAGAGAGGGAACACAAGCAGGGGGAGTGGGAGAGGGAGAAGCAGGCTTCTTTCCGAGCAGGGAGCCCAATGGGGGGCTTGATCCCAGGGTCCTGGGATCATGACCTGAGCCGAAGGCAGACGCTTAAGGACTGAGCCACCCAGGCACCCCTGGATATGGTTTTTTAAAAATAATTTTAAACATTTATATTTCTTGCCTAGATCCCAGAAAGATTTTGAGATAGCTTATATTTACATATAAGCTGGATATCTGTATTGGATGTCTATGTATCTATATCCAATACAATAAGATTTTTTAAAAATGCATAGATTAGGAAATGGGGGCAAAAGACCATATGGAAATAAAATAAGATGAAATTTGGAGTTAATACACGTAAATGGAAAGTATAAAGACCAATGCAGTAACTCAGATTTTGTTGCATATTTAACTCTGAGTTTTCTGGTGGCCCAAGCAAATGGGAAAGATGGGTAAGCTCAGCTTCTGTAGGCTTTGACAGGAAAACAATTAATGTCATAGGAGGAGACCAGCTTCCCTTGTTGTCCTCCCAATGGAGTCATTGTGTCTTATCATGGGCAGGGTCTTCCATCATGTGCCTATAAAACAAAAGGCCTAAAGTGTGCCAGTCAGTAACAGCAAACCTACACGAGGCCAAAACAATGGGGCTTACGTATGAAGCATCAGATCGTCTGACTTAATTCAGGGATGCAGTTTAAATTATATAGAAGAATGAGTCGTCTGCCTGTCCTTTGAATTCCCATGGGCTGCAGTTTAAATTATATAGAAGAATGAGTCGTCTGCCTGTCCTTTGAATTCCCATGGGCATTTGATCCCATACGGAGGCTTTTGGGAAAACTTGGCAGAAGGTCTGAGGTTGTATTCTTCTGTTGAAGGTGGAGGGCAAAGTAGTGGTGGGGCCGATTAAGGACTGACCAGTACGGCAGACAAGAGTGGTTCTCAAACATAAGCCAGGGAGCTTGTTAAACCACAGATTGCTGTGTTTGTGATTCAGTGGGTTTGGGGTGAGGTCAAATAAGGTAACAAGCTCCCAGATGATTCTGATGCTGCTGCCCTGGAGACCACACTTTGAGAACTGCTAGCATATGGTATTTTTACTTCTCAGTTGTCCTATGTGTGTGCACTTGGCCCCTGGGTTGTAGAAAAAAAAATATATAAAAGGTATTACATATGTGGGCAATGTTCATACAATAACATCTGAAATTTTTACTTCTCACCCACAGCACTCATACTGTAAACATTCATGCTTTAATGCTCTTCTTTTTCTCAATGATTTACTCTAAATATCTTCTCATATGTAGACATCTATGCAGAGAGATCCATCTAAAAGTATATTAGCTGTCTCTTTGGACTAGGTGAGTTAGAGAAGGTAAAGGTGACCCATAATGCCCCTATGCATCCAGCTTCTATGGTATTTGAGCATGGACTTCATGTTGTAACCCTTAGGGCACAGATAAAGGCTTTATTATTTTTTTTATTTTAGCAGAGCTAAAGCGTTTTTAGCTAAGGATATTATTTCTTCAATAGCCCTGTGTGCCTAAGGGTTTGTAGTAGGAAACTTGTACTGTAAGTACTTCCTTCACAATTTTGCAGTGAAAAATGTTTTGCATATAGAATGAACCAAGTCGATGTATACTTTGTCATCTATTACATTTTGACCTTGGTAGGTATCGTTTAATATGACCTGAATATTGCCAACTTTTAGAATTCTAAGATTATATTGTCACACATGACAGTGGAGTATTTAATTGCATTCTGTAGGCCAGTGGGTCTCAATTTCCATTAAGGTCACCTAGGAAACTAAAAAAAGAAAAAGAAAAAGAAAAAAAACGCTTCTGAGAATGAAGTATCCAATCAGAACTTCTGAGGATGGGGCCCTGATGTTTGTATTTTTGGAGAAGTTCCCCTGTGTGATTCTGCTGGGCAACCAAGGATGGGAACCTCTTGTCTTAGGGCAAACTTGATTGTTTATGACTTGAAGATAGGAACTTTGGAGACTGATAGGATGGTATCACTGGAGCCTGCCTGGTTTTGTGGGGTCACCTAATTTGGGGTGCTGTTGGTTTTCCTGGTGAAGATAACTTTTCTCATACTGGTGGCAGGTGGCGTCTACTTGGTTCACCGAGACACACATTTTTGAGTGCCGTGTGTGGTGAACCTTTGCTACCCAAAGCACGGGCCACAGACCTGTCACAGCAGCACCACCTGGGAGACTGTCCGCCATGCAAACTCTCAAGACCCTCCCTAGACCTACTGAATCAGAATCTGAACTGTGACAAGATCCTCAGGTGATCTGGTGTCAACGGAAGTTTGCAAAGTGCCCGTTTAAGCAAGTGCTTTCACGTGTTTGCTTTACCCTTCACTACCACACTGGGTGTAGGCCTCTTCCGTCCCCGTTCCCAAAGGAGAAAACTGAATCTCGGTGGAGATGGTTAACTTGCCTACGAGGATGAAGGGTCACCGAAAGGGAAGAATCCTCTACCAAAGGAGAAGAGTTTTTTGGGGTACAGATTCTGATATCTGTGATGCCTGTTATCCCCCATCCTTCCCCACACTTGTGCATGTGAAGACACGGTCATCCGGCTTCTCCCCCGAACCCTGTCTGGCCGCTTATTGTGCTTCCTTGGGTCACTGAGCCTCGGTGGAGGTGGCCTCAGTGGCAGGCAGTCTGGGGTGGTTTTCCACTTACGGCCTTGCTGGATGGGGGCCTGTGGCAAGTACAAAATGATGGTGATGGTGATTACATGTTCCTTAGGAAATCTGTGTATACTTGGCACTAATTAGCGTTCCCTCACTCGTGGAACCAAGCTACCACTTGCTTTTCCTGTGCTGTGGAAAATCTGGAAAACAGCTTGTTGTTTTTTTTCACTTGGCTATCTGAGACTGCAAGTCTGTAGCGTGCTGTAGGATTGTAGATGCAACAGATCCAAATGAAAGTTTCCATGACCCCCTCCCCCTCTCTCCTGCACCGGGAATAGTCACGCCCCTTATATAGACATTGTAGAGAAACTGTGATTCTTTTGTGTTAACCTTCACAGAGCTCACAGAGGGAAATCATTTAGCTTACAGCTTTTACTGAAAATCAGGGGTACATCTCTAAGTTGGGGGTGATTTCCTGCTTTCAAGGGAGGGAAGAAATGGCAGGTGGAACACAGGAGTGAAGTAATCCAAAGGGGTCACGCTAGAGAGAATATAAAAAGAATGCTTCCATTTGAATGACTGAAACAACACCTTCATTTTTCACTCAGTTGGCATCATAAGAGTTCTGGTACTAAATAGCGAGTGGTTCTACTTTTTTTTTTTGCCACATTCGGTTTCATCTTATTGAAGAGGTTCCTTAGCAGATGCACTGCAAAAGAGGAGTAGTTAACAAGAGGCAGCTTATGCAGCCGGGTAGATCCCAGCAGAGCTGCACTTTGTAAGGGTGATTGAGTGACCAGGAAAGCTAATCCTGGGTGTCTGTTCACGTTGTCCTCCCAAGAGATTTCCTCCACCTACTCGCCTCGGAGCAACGAGGCAATCCGAGAGCAAACTGACATCAGCCCTCATTCCGAGCTTGGCACATCTTCAGAGCGGTACTGTTGTTCTGCCAAAAGGAAGTGGAAATTGAGATAAATGTTTCAATACTCAGATGGAAAAAAAAAGTCCATTTTTACACCACGTCCCTTTTGAAAAACCACAGTCCTTAGAAGCGAAGTTTATTGTTTCCTTTTGTGATAATTTGCTTTTCTTTTTTCTTAAGTCATGGTATTTAAGAGTGGTAATTGAGTTCAGATTTTAGAATGTGCTGTTTCCACTCTGCATGTTGTTAAACTATGAGCTTTCATAAAGTTTCTCTGGAAGTGTTTCTGGTGTACTCTGTTCCACAGTGTGTAGAGTGTCCGCCCGAGGAGACCGTTGTGCATGATCTAATCACGGATGAACATCCTCGAATCCGCTAGGGAATCTGTCGTGTTGTGGAGTATTCAAAATGTGCCGAAAATACACTGGTTCTGTTTATAATCTTGTCACTTACACTTCGCATATGTAGTTTACTTCCACAGTCACTGTCTCCTAGTGGTCTTGTCTTTCCACAAAGAAGGAGCAGTTTGCAGGATAAAAACCAACTGTTGAAAGAGCTATGACTAGAAGTAGGGTTGTTTCAGGCACTTTCTGAGGACATCAGTTATTCTCCGCAAAGTATTTGGGTTTGAAACAAGGTATATGAACCTTTTCAGAAGGTGTGTTCCGACAGCAAGTTTCTTTTATGTCTTCCCTCACCTTTCGGGGACGCGAGTAGAAAGAACATTTGGTGATGAATGTCATTCTCTCACCCCATATGCAGTGAAAAGGGTCTCACTGTATTTTGTTTTACTGTGGTACATAGAAAATTCACTCTTCTATCAGATTAGCGTTGAAATGAGTTTCACAGCAGGTCTTGGAGCTGGGTACAAAGATTGAAGTGCATTTGAATTTTAAATTTGCAAACCTAACATTGTTGCTTCCCCAAAGTGCTCTGTTCTTTGTTGGCTCCTTCAGATTTACTGGGTTACTATGGGATACTGTTCGGTATCTCAGAGAATCCCAGTTGAGCTCCTTTTCCTTCGCTGTGATCTCATTGATATTCTGATATTTCCTCTAGATCAAGAGGAATGGTGTTTGGACCAGCCAATTTAGGGGAAGATGCAATTAGAAACTTCATTGCAAAACATCGTTGCAACTCCTGCTGCCGGAAGCTCAAACTCCCGGGTATGCCCCCAGACAATTCTATTTCTCTCTAAGTAAATCTCTCCTAGAACAACATCCATTGTAACCTGGGAGAGAGTCGAAAATCTCAATCACATTTTTATCTCATTCACAGTCGAGGCCTGACTTTCTGACTGCAAATTTTTCAAGTCTCTGAAGGGATTAAAAGGATGGGGATTTACTTCAGGTTCTGCCAAAATGTGATAAAACAACATTGGGCCCAATACTTGTCACAGTCTCTCCAAGGGGAAGGGTTTACCGACTTCACTGGGGTAAAATTGAACTGAGGCAGGTCCCCCCCACCTCTCCCATTCAGTCCTGTGTGGCGTCCACAGGATTTCAGTTCTTACTTACTCATTGGACACTTGGGACCGTGGAGTCTCTAGGGAGACAACAGCCCGTCAGTTAAAGTCATGCTTTTCACTACAAAAGCCTGCCACGTTAAACATACATTGCAATGTGTGTTTTAAAAAAAAATCTGATTTCACAGATTCGCACACTTTCTCCGAAACTGATATAGTCACTGCGGACAAATATTCTTAGCATAAGAGCACGCAGCTAGAGGTCTGTGTCCCCTAGACTGGCAGTCCCAGCTCTGTCGAATTCTTCTCTTTTATTCCAGAAGGGATGCTTCATGCCTATCCCTGCTTGTTCACTGTTTTTCTTAGGTCATACCAAACTTGTCCTTAGACTGGAATCTCACGTATTTTAAGCTGAGTAGCCCTTCCTGCCTTAGAATAAAGGATCATGCCCCGGATCAGAAATTAGTAAAAGATCAGCATCCATGGTAACTTGGGATGGAGTAGGTGTAAATGTACAACTGAGAAGGGCAATTTCTAATCCTGTTGGAAGTAGAGGTAGGAGGTTAAGAAGCTCTTGTGAGCATGGCATAGCCAAAGATGGGAATGGGGAGCAGGCTTCTAGTTCCAGTGGGAGTTAGCCCATCAGCCAGGAGTGGCAGAGGGGGTGCGGGTGGGGGTGGGGGGATCAGACTGGAGCAGCAGAGGAGGGGACTATCCCTCCTGTCTTGCAGAGGCTCAGAACTCCGTCTCACAGATACGTGGCCGACTTGGGCAGAGAGATCAGTCCATAGCACACTGGCCATGCTGCCCCATGGCGTCCTCTCTGGAAGACACAGGGACTGTATCTGATCAGCTGGGAGAACAGGAGACGGGAGGCGTAACTCACTGCTTCCATCCTTGAGCCCAAGTTAGCTCTTCTGCATGATGAAGGTTGAGATCTTTTATTTACTTATTTATTTTTAACCCCATGATGGTGGGTTTTGAGTAACTCAGTATCCTCCATTTCTAGGCTTAATTTTTGTTTTCAACCCTTTAGTTAACACATTTAAGTGGAAATAAGGAATATCCTCATTTATTCAGACATTTGGTAACATGAATATTAAAAAAAGCTTAGGAAAACAACTGCAGGTGATTTTTCTTTGCTCTTGATTATGTTTTATCTCTCTTTTAATTTTTAATTTTTATTTTTTAAAGATTTTATTTATTTATTTGACAGAGAGAGACGCAGTGAGAGAGGGAACACAAGCAGGGCGAGTGGGAGAGGGGAGAAGCAGGTTTCCCGCAGAGCAGGGAGCCTGGGATCCCAGGACCCTGGGATCATGATGTGAGCCGAAGGCAGATGCTTAACCGACAGAGCCACCCAGGTGCCCCCCCCTTTCTTTTTTTAAAGGAAAGGTGGTTTAGAATAGATATAAGAGCATGGAATCCAGAGCCAGATAGATTGAGCTCATATCCCAGTAATGCTTTTTACTAGCTCTGTGACCTTCAGCCTTGATTTTTCTTATCCATAAAGTGAGTATAATAGCACCTAGCTCATAAAATTGATGTGAGGACTGAAGTAATCTATGGATATGTTCAATAAATGTTGGTTATCAGTAAACTGTAATATGTATTAGTTTTATATCCAGATAATCCCCTTTTAACATTAAAAAGTAACATAAGGAATACATATTTAAGGTTAACAACTTTAATCAATACAGCACTAAATGATACATAAACATAAGAAGCCCACCCTCCTCCATAAGCTTCTCCCCAAAGGTTATACCCCTGTCAGTGTTCTCGTTTGATAATTTCCTTTTCAAATGGAAGAAGGAGGCTTTAGGGGGCATAGGATCCGATAACTGGATGAAACCTTCCTCGGCACTTCCAAACCTGAGGGACAACTTTGTTGCAGAACACTAACCCCTGAAATCTCATATCTACCTTTTTGGCTGAACTCCCTGATTCTGTGCATCATCCAGCAATGAAAACGCCCTGTTTCCAGGTTGGCCTAACTTACCTCCAGCCAGAGTGTGCTTTATGGGGCACTGCATATGGGAATCCAGCCATCAAACCTTCCCCCACTCCTGCCCCGACAGCTGCACGGGGGAGTTAGAGTGACGCGAGCACTCTGGGGCAGGGGTTAGTCTGGGCACGGTGGAGGGTTCGAGTTTCACGTATCTGCCACCTGAGGAAGCAGGGTCCTTTCTGAGCACTTGGCCAGACCTAACATTCAATTTGTCTGTGTGAACTCTACCTTCTTGAGGATCCCCTATAACCGTCCTCCTTGTTTTCCCTGCAGATTTAAAAAGAAATGACTATTCTCCTGGAAGGATAAATTCCACTTTGGGACTTGATAGCAAAATAGAACCAACTGAGGGGCCTCCAGCAAGGGAAAGGGGTCGTAATTCTCCAGAAGACCTCACCCGCCTGTAAAAAGGGAAAGAGAAGCCAGAGGGCACCAACTCTTCCCCTCCTTTCCGGGAACTCTGGTAACAGAGATTGATTGGAGTACCAAAGGTGACAGCAGAGCCTCTGTCAGGATGGCCTGACCCCGCGCCCTCCCTGAGACACGCCTCTGAGCCTCGCGTCTCGCCCTGCCGAAGGACCTCACTGGTGTTGGATGAACGGGTTCTCCCAGATACCGACCTGTGTGTGTTGGTCCTCCCGTAGTTGGGTAGGAAGACACTCAGACGAGCCAGCTGGGAATACTGCTCCCTCATACCTCATTGCTTTAGCTGGTTGCTTAGAACCCTTGGAGCAGGATGGTGGGCACTGAAGAACCAGGGAGATTAATTTAATTTATTTTCTCACTGTGTGCACTGACTCGAGCCCCCACTGCTGTTCATTACCTCACCCACGTATTGTGTTTATGTATGTACGTGTGTATAAATAAGGCATTTGACTTCCTCCTTCCCCGAGGTGCAGGGCTTTGAATAGCAACAACAAGGAAAACAATGGAATGGGGTGTCTTTGCACAGATTGGAACACCCTCCTGCATGGTCTCACCAGTGAAAAAGTTAGTATCCTGGTGAAATCTAGATGGATTTGAGGTTTTGTCAGCGAACCACATGATGCCTGGACATTTCAGTTTTCTCCGAAAGAAGGGAAAAGAGAAATCTAAAGCAAATGCTCCTGCGTCCTTTTTAAATTCTTTTTCTTAAAGGGGACCAAGGGATAATGTGGAACTAGGAGATGCCATGAAATATTTTCCCCTCCCTTAAGCTCAGGGGTACCATCAGTTAGAGTTGACTGAGCCAACCTCTAAAACAGGACTCCCTTTTCCAAAACTGTGTATATAATATTACAAGCTAAGTTACTCTGTCAGGTCCTCTGTGGGGGGGGGGAAAGATGGGGTTTCTGACTGGAAATGTGCTTCGAAGGTGTTTGCTTCGTTCCAATGCAGAGGGCCAGTGGCTTAAAAGAGTGCCCTGGTGAGCATTTTAAGGATGGCCTGAGAACATGTAATCAGCTTCCAAGTCCCAAAGGAAGGCTCCCAGGACGCCTCACCGCCCAGAACCTTTGAGGGACCAGCCATCTCTCTTGTGCACTGGTCAGGGTCACCCCACCTCAGAACAAGCATACACTTTTCACACAAGGAGGGAATGGAGGGCTTGAAAAATGTCAACTCCCCTTTGTCTTTAGCCCTTACATGAGCTGGTTTGCTCTTTCACCGACATGCCTGCATTTCTAGATTATACTTCAGGGGAAATGTGGCCCAGGCACACAGGGCTGCAGATTTAATTTGCCAAGGGTTGCGTCTGGTTCTTGTGTGAGTTGCAAAGGACTAATTTATACCCCTTGTACTTTGGTCTTGGGGGTGGTGGTGGGCAGGAAATTTGGGTGATTTTCTTGATTGGCAATGGGGATAAAATGTTAATGCTTTTTTCAGGGCTTAACTGCTTTATCCTATTCTGCAAATCAATGAGGGATCTCTTGGTACTTCGGTGCTGTGTTGAACTGTGGAAAGAGGCAGTTTTACTGTCCAAGAGCCAAACTAAAGGCATTAATTGATTGGTCAAATATTTGTTACTTGGCCTGGAACTTGAAAACAAATGCGTTTTGACTTCAAATTTCTGTGTTGTGCTTCTTTCTTTCTTCCTCTTCTTTCCTTTTCCTTCTTTTCTTTCAGAAAAATCACCAGAATAATATATTAAAAAGATGAAGTGCTGGGCAAAGATCCCTGTGGGATTGCTTGTATGCAAATACAAAAGTCATGACTTTTGAGTGATTCATGACCACAGACGGGTGGGTATTCATTCATTCATTTGGTCAGTTTTATTCAACAGAGTTTTACCAAAGTGCTTTCTCTGTACTGTGTGAGTGATGAGGATGCAGTGAACAAAGCATTTCTTTGCCCTTAAAAAACCTTTATGTCTCGTGTTTCTTTCTGATTTTTCTTCCCCCCCTCTTGGGTACCAACTTTGGATTTCTGGTTAATACTAAAAACTGACTTCTGGGAGAACGTTGGATCCAATGATATGTCCTATGCTTCATCTGCCAGGGGGCAGTAGGTTCCGACTGGGATAAGAGAATTAGGGCAAATAAGAAGACCTAGCTAGGGCTGATTTTAGGAACCACTCAGGAAAAATGAGCTGTACAATCCTTGCATGAGCACAAAGCCCCTCTCACAGATGGGATCTGACTTGGGGCATAGGAGAAGCAGCTGGGTTCGCAGGAGCCCTTCCTGAAGGCGTTCCTCTCGATGAGTCTGTATGTTCCTGGAGTGACTTCTGCCCCATGACATCTGAAAGCCTCTGACAGCTCTGGGGAATGAGATCAGATATAGTTTTGGGTGTTTCTCACCCTGTTATTATTTTCTGTGGCTTTGCAAAACAAGTTCTAGGTGATTAAGACTTCCCAAACAACCATTTACTGGATGTTTAAAAAATAATTTCATTTTCTTGGTGGCAGTTGTTTGTTAACTGTTTTAGAGGAGACGAACCACTGAGGTTCTAGAAGTCATGACACAGATGCCCCGGTCATAGTTTGTTGTCTTTCTCCATTAGTCAGCAGCATCTGGCACAAAACATGGCACATCATAAGCTTCCAACATTATTTGTCGAAAGAAATAGTAAAACCTTCAAATGGTAATGGATTTCATTCACTAGGTAATAAATCAGATTTACATTTTTAATCTAGAAGGGAACGATTACCAATTCCTTAAGACCCCACACAATTCTTTTGATCTCTCTCTGTTTTAATTTTCCAGGAAATAGCTTTTAACAACCTACACCTTGTCTATTGAATTCTCAACCAGTTCTTGCCCTTAACATTGTTGTGATACCAGAATACGGTCCTTCTTACTGGTGACCGTTGAAATGAGATTATAACTTCCCAGAAACTGCCTAGAAATAATCATCACTTTATTACCTTTTGAAAAGAAGATTGATAGAAAAGTCATTTGAAAGATGGTTCATTACCATGCCCTAGTCTGATTTCTTTACTCACATCTCTCCAAAGCATGAGAAAGGGAGGATTATTCTCTGAGGTCGGAATTTGAAGGCTGTGTGTTTGCCTCTTTGAAGTCTTGGTATTTAATTTTCTGTAGTCATTTCTTGGGCAATTTTCTAAGAAACTAGTTGAAGCTAATTTATCATAAGTTAAAGTCAAATGACAGAAAAGATTTTTTTCCCCTTAACAGTCTTTTATTCCACAGAGGTTAGCTTCTGAAGGAAAATGAGACTTAAAATAGCATTTCAAATCTCCAGCCACATGGGTGGGTCCATAGAATAAAAAGCATTCTGGAAACCACACTGTTTTTGTTTTTGTTTTTTTTTTTAATTTCGCAGTTTTTATTTTGTGACTTTTCTTTCCAGACCGTGATGTACAGATAAAATATATTTTTGTGAAATACCCTCCTAAAAATAATTAGTAAGTTGCTTAATGTTTCAAAGAGAGATTTTTAGTCCTCAAGGGGTAACAGACCTTGGTCTGTATCGTTGGCAGATTTTGGTATAACTTTATATAATTTGTTTAACCTTTCTCTTAACCCCCAACTCTAAAATAGAGATGAGATGTTTACCTTTTCAAACAAAGGTGAACAATAATGAGAGAGCATTTATAAAACCCTTTGAGAATCTCATTTAAGGCTTCTTGAGAGCATGGGCTCCAGTTCAATAAATAATAAGGGTTTTCATTTTTGATATTATGTGATCATTATTTAATGTTTACAGAGGATGCTCAGTGGACCTGTTTCAGTGTAAACACAAAAGTGGGCTTTGCTATTTCTCCGTTTCCAAGGGGAAAAAGCTCATTGCTCCCTTTTTGTTTTGAAGCTTAATTAAATAGCTCAAAACCAGGAAGTTCACCATTTCACGTATCTCCTATTTATTTTGCTTTTCAATGTATTTAGGTTTATGCAGTGAATTTCTTTTGCCATCTTCGGCCCAAAAGGAAGGCTTCCAGAACAAGTAAAGCCCAAATCTGGCACCGTGATTGGTGACGTTTTTGGGAATAAAAGGAGAGCAGGTTTAGAATCTTGATGTTTGTAAAGCTGAATGTTTTACAAAAATTTTAATTAATGGTGACTTAAATTTTGTCAGTATGGAGCTGTTTAGTAATAAGAAAATTCTGGCCTCTAGCTTGCCAGCATCTTTTAGCAACTACAGTTGACCGTTTAAAAATGTGGTTTGAATTGCATGGGTCCACTTATGCGCAGATTGCTTATAGTATAGCACTATACATGTATTTTCCTTATGATTTTCATAATAATATTCTTTTCTCTAGTTTACTGTAAAAATAGAGTTTATAATACATATAATGTTGAAAATAGGCGCTGTTTGACTGTTTATGTTATTGATAAGGCTTCCGGTCAAGAGTAGGCTATTAGTAATTAAGTTTTTGGGGAGTCAGAAGTTACGCATAGATTTCCAACTGCAAGGGGGGTTGGTGCCCCTAATCCCTGCCTTGGTCAGGGTCAACTGTAACCTCCTTTAGAATTCTCACCTTTCCAGTGATTTTTTTTTTTTTTTTGTGAACCTTTAGAAATCCCATTTGCTACATTAGTATCACCAAGTCCTCACAAGTATTATGATAGAAACCCTTTGGCTAATGACTGTCCAAATGCCTTTCCTTGGAGGTTTTTGGGGGAATCATTATTGGTATCATGTGGTTGCATTCTGGCTTCCAGTGAATCTTTTCCTCTGTTTCCCCATGGGTCACCAACTAAGAGATTACAGAGCCTCAGGATGCTTTGGTAACCAGAAGAAGCTCTTGGTGTGTGTTACAGGCTGAAATGTGCCTCCCCTCCCTTCACCCCCAAATTCATGTGTTGAAATTCTAACCCCCAGTACCTCAGAATGTGACTGTATTTGGAGATAAGGTCTTTAAAGAGGTAATTAGGTTAAATAAGGTCATTAAGGTGGGCCCTGATACAGTATTATTGATGTTCTTATACGAAGAGAAGATTAGGACACAGACACACTCAGGAAAGATCATGTGAAGACACAGAGAGAAGGTGGCCACCTGCAAACCAAGGAGAGATTCCTCAGAGGAAACTGGACTT